GAAAAAAATCGTCTTAATTGAAATGCAATTCGATTTAAAAGTATTTTTAATGTTAATTTAAATAAAAAATAAGAGAAAGTAAAAAAAAATTGAAATATTCGGCCACTAGGCATCTAGACATAGTAGCATTCCAATTAAGCACTTTAATCTGAGGTGTGGTTTGAATAGTTTTTTAAATCTCGTATATTTATCTCAATTTATATATTTTGCCGAAAAGGATGTCTAAACAAATGTCCTAACCTCTAAACTTTTCTAATATTTTATCATGTTGGCTTAACCAATGGTTGATTCGGCCGTCAAGTTTGACCTAATTCCATGCTTGACCCAGCTCAACCCTAGGCTCCCACCACCACCACCGCATGCAGGACCACCACCATTGACAAGAAAAAACCAGACCTAAAGTTAACCACTTTGCGAGAAAATTGCTAGTATCATAACCCTCCAATCAACACAAGCATCGCAGTGGATACATGGAAAGGGTGGAAAGTGGTGGGAAGAAGAGTGAGGGAGTGGAAAGTGCAAATCCCAAGACATCTTCCCTGGTTTGAGAACGTGAAAGAAGTAGGGTGGAAGGAAAATGTAGAGAAAAGATTCCCGAATGGCATGCCTAAGCCATTCTCTATGATTGAAGAGAAAGTGGAATGAAAATGAAAGAAAATGACAGTTTTGTTCTTTCAAATTTTCATGACAACTTTAAAGCAAAGGTACATCAATGGTAATCTGATGTGTTTACAATTATTTTCTTCTACTTTTCCTACTTAAAATTCTTTTCCTTTGTTCCATTCTTTCCCTCCATTTTCCACACTCATCCGAACACGAGGATGAAAATACAAATTCCTTCACCCATTTTCTTTCCTCCCACTTTCTTTCTCACCCATTTTTTCCTACCAAACACATGTTAGAGTCCACTATTTGTGCATAAACAATATACAAAATGCACGTGCTTATAAATTAAAGTTTGCCTAAATATATTAGGAGATCATATACTAGCAAATTAATTTCTATATACAATCAATTAGATTAACTGGAATGGTTAATCGATTAGTTATTTGCTCTTATATATTTTGGTTTGATCTCTCAAAATCAAATCATGCTAACAGGTTTTTAACCAATGAATTCGAATTAGATCGTAGTATAATCGAATTTAATTTGTTTAATAAATAAATCGGATTAGATTTTACAAATTTGAATTCAGGCTTTATAATTGTCAATTCTAATCTAATTATTTGCTATTATATATTTCAGCTTGATCTTTCAAAATCAAGCCATCCTAGCAAGGTTTTTAACGAACAGGTTCGGATTATATCATAGTATACTTAAATCTAGTTTGTTTAATAAATAAATCGAATTAGATTTTATAAATTTGAATTCAAGCTTTGCAGTTGTCAATTCTAATCTAAATCTAACATATTTGGATCGTATTCAGATATTTATCGGATTTTTCATTCAGTTTTTTTCAAAGAAAAAGTGTTAGCTACATTCAAAATGATCCTTCAATATAAAATGAGTTTCAATTATACATATAAGCAAAAATAATAATATTTACTATGTCAATTTTTTTTAAATCCAAATATACCACCATTAAAAAGAACAAAACCAAATAATCTTAATAAAAATTTATATTAAAGGGCTGCAAGAAGTATGACAAAGTTAAAGGGAAAAAAAATTGCTTATTCTAGACACAACTTGATTGGTGTGAATTTTTTTTCCCAATGTTTTACAAATAACAAGTTTGAAATTATCAAAAAAAAAAAAAAAAAGAAAAAGAAAAAGAAACAACTCATTAACTTTTTTTTAATACATTTATAAGAATTGTTTTTTCACAAAATTAATTTGAGACTTGAAATATGATGAAAAAAATACTCATCATATAATTGTTTGGAAGACTAATTGCTAATATAGAGAGAAAAAATTTATCAGAATTATAGAGCATTTCTTAGCATCTTGAGTAAATAAATACTGAATCTAGAGTAAATAAATCCTAAATCTGATGCCATATGTTTATTTTTTATATTTAATTTTTCTTAGATCTAATTATTATAGCTTCATATTTAATTCATTTAATAAATGAGTTAACATATTTGAATCATAATAAACACGAATCATTAAAATTATATGTAATATATATTTAATTACATTAGAGTTAGATTAGATTCAAATTAAGATACCATTCATTAATAGTCCTACTAGCTACATCTTTGTAGCCAAATATATCTTGCATAGGTATTTTTTTTAATTATTTTTATGGGGTAATATCCAACAAGATACAAAATCTTGAGGAAAAAAAATTACTAAACAAAGGAAAAAAGAAATAAAAAATTATCATTCTATGTACTTTTCAAACTATACCACATTTAAAGTCTCAAACCACATCTACGTAGAAATTCAATCATAATTTCTTTAAAAAAAAAAAATTAAATCTTAATTTATCTTTCTATAACTAATTTAACATGAATATGGGCCAAACATTTCTTGAATTCTAATTCATCTGAAAATAAGTCCATAAAATTTTAAATTTTGTCTTGACCCGTCTACACTTTATTTTTTTTTAGATTTAATCTATTTTCAACTATTATCAATTTCTTTTAAAAAATTCAATTCTTATATTTTGAGATATAATTTTGCATACACGTTGAAAAAAATTCAATTCATTTTACGAAAAAAATTCTAGATTTTTTCAAAATTGAAAAATAAATTTATTTATTTTTTAAATATTAAAAATATAAAAAAATTGAAAATAACCCAAAATATTATCAAAAATTTTAAAGAGTTTCAGATAAATATTATTAAATGATTTTATCATAAAACTATTATCTGATTCCTATTTTTTTATTAGAAAACAAAAAACTAAAATATATACTAAATCTCAAAAAGAAAAAAAAATGATAAAAAAAGTCAAACTCAAAATTAATTTTTAAATAAATTAAAATTCAGGGACCTTTTAGCCGTAAGTATGTTATGTTATCAAGAAACTGTAGCGCCGGGCATAAATCAAATCATATCATATTATATATACCTAAAATCAATCCACAGGGGGCGTTTTTTCATCATTGAAATCAAGCGGATTAGAACTTGCTTCCACACTACAAAATCGTGCGTCAAAAAACACATTAATATTCCCACAAGTCCATTTACCATTTAAGACAAGAACCAAAAAAAAAAAAAAAAAAAAAAAACATAAAATCCAATTATATCTCTTCACATCGGCAACACGATAACATTACGTTGCGTTTCTTACCAATCTGTAAGGAAACTCATTTCGGACAAGTGACAAGGACTCCTGCTCTCTCAACTTTTATTATCTTAAAAACTTTCTGTTTTCGGTTTTGTGTCTTTAAATTTGATTCTTCTCTTCTCACTCATCATCATCATCAAGACCAAATCTTTCTTTCTCTCTTTCTTTCTTCATACATCTTCTGCAGCCAGCACTTGTCAACAACATCTTCAACTTAGTTTCTTTCTTGCTTTCAGGTAGACCTCTGTCTTTTGTTGTTCTTGGATTCTATCAAAATGGGTCTTCTTTGTCCTGGCTTATAATCATCCATGCATGATTTTCTTTCTTTTTCTTGTTCTTCACGTGTGTCACTAGTACTTTTGTTGTTATTTGCTGTAGCGCTAATTTATCGAGGTAATAATAAGGTATATTTTTACGGCATTTTAAGGGTTTAATACACTTTTAAAAGTACTTATCTTTTGCTTACTTGGAACAAGTTATGTGGGTTGGTATGTTTGTTCTTCAATATAAAGTTCAAATACATCTTCTCTTTCCCCTGCTCGCTCTGTTTTCTTTCGGAACCCAGTATTTGCTTTTGTTGAAGTTTGGTTTAGCTAATTGAATCAAGAGAAATCTGCCCTTCACTTTTTTATTGCTTATGATCTATTTTAACGTTCTGGATGCTTAGGATTTCAATCCTTTGATTTGCTTTACTTGAATTTTATAGTACGAGATCTGACGTTTCATGTTTTGATATTAATGTTTTAGCCATAGTAAATACTTGTTCATTATGATAAAACTGTTTATTGGTTTCCGATCTGCTTATTAAAGGTTCTGCTTTGTGGGTTTGGAGGAGGATATAATTCAGATCTGATCTGTCTTGCCTTTTAGCTTTTGATTGGCTAAGATGCTTTGGTTTGTTATGGTTTCTTCTAGTGATGAAATGGTTGTTAGGATGATTAGTTGCAAATTAGAATATTTACCTGCCTGTTTTGTCAATATACGTTTGGTTGGTTAGGTAGGTTGAGATGTGATATGATTTTAGAAGCGGATTTTCTAATGAAAATGATGCATGGAATATTTAAGTATAGCAAGTTTGGAGATAAATTTATTCTGTTTTAACTTTTCTGATTTTTTGTTACGTTTTTGCATGAAGGTTTAGGGTACTGGAAACCGAAAACTACAGTTATCTAAGTTGAGATTGGTTACCTTTTCTTTTCTCCTCAAAGAAATGGATTCTCAAATTGCTGTGTCATACTGTTCTTGCTGCATTGACTTTATTGTTCCTTTTATTTAATCATGTAGGAATTTATCTTCGTCAATGAAAATGGAAGTTAGAGGAGGCTGAAACTTGCTAACTTTTATGGCTGTCACTGGTAGGATTTTATTTTTTAAACTCTAATTCGATAAACAGATGTTGATTTTTGTGTGTGTGATAATATTTGTGTTCTTCTGTTGTAGATATTTGGGCAATGTGTGGAGGAAGAGATTGTTTCAGAGGTTTACAAGCTATCCCATATAAAACAACTGAAAGAAACTATTTTAAGAGCAGAACATCTAGAATGGAATATGTATCAGATTGGACAAAATACAGAAAATCATCAGCATTTACTTCTCAAGTGATTTGTGGTGCAACATTTTTCATGCCTTGGTCTCTGAAAATTCCTATAGGTGATGGTTATCATGAATTTCTTTAATCAATAATTTTTCATTCAAAAACATCATTCTAGGGAGAGATAATAGAAAAAAAACAAGAATCGTCTGCTTCTCTCTTGATTAGTTGAAAATGCCCGGGGTTGTCAGTGGAAAGAAGAGATTCACAGAAACAAACATGACCTTTTCCACTTCGATCACACAAGATTTGAACAGCAACCCTCAATTAGCTTCTCAGATCGCCAAAGATATTGACAGCCCCATTCTACCTGGGCTGCCGGATGATGTGGCAAAATATTGCCTTGCACTAGTTCCTCGCTCTCACTTCCCAACCATGAGTTCAGTGTGCAAGAAATGGCTGTCATTTCTTAAAAGCAAAGAACTCATAACCATACGAAAATTAGCTGGTTTGCTTGAGGAATGGCTTTATGTCTTAACTATGGATTCTGAAGCAATGGAAAGCCACTGGGAGGTTTTGGATTGTTATGGACACAGACATCAGCTTCTACCACCAATGCCTGGTCCAACTAAGGCAGAGTTTGGGGTAGTGGTTCTAAATGGAAAGCTTCTTGTCATGGCTGGCTACTCATTGATTGATGGTACTGGCTCTGCCTCTGCAGATGTTTATGAATATGATTCTTGCCTCAACAGGTTTGTTCCTTGTACAAGCATGAGACTCACCCTCCCACAATTATTATGAGCTGAATTTTTCTTTTTTCCCCGTTTCTTTCAAAGTTTGAAGCCATAAAATTTGATTTCATTATCAAATTGATTTCAAGTTTTCTTGTGATTGGTAACTTATAGCTCAGCATATTAATTTGATGGCATTTTGCTAGCATGAGGGAAAAGGTTTGTTTGATAGTTCTGAACTTTTTTTTTTTTTTTTCCCAGATAACAGATAGTTCTGATATTTTAAAATTTTTACCAGTGGATTAAATTGAAACCTTTTGCATTATTTGTTAGAAGTCTTTTATACTTATTTTTGAGTCCTGGGAACTAGGTTTTTCATGTAAATCCATAGAGTCAGTGATATTGGAATTTGGAGGAATTGAGTTTGCTAGTTGTCTAACCAACCAATTAGTTGCCCAACTTATAGAACCATTTTGTTGGAAAATAAATGTAAAACCCAAGAAAAGTATGTCCCTGTTTATGGTTGCTCCTGTTACTTTGGTTCTTTGTTACACAGTAGTTGTATGACCATTTCATTAGGGAATCTGGATTCTTTATTTTTTTTCTCACTGTTTTACTGCGCTCCTCTTTAATTGCAGCTGGAGAAAATTGGCAAGCATGAATATTGCTCGCTATGATTTTGCTTGCGCTGAGGTTAATGGCAAAGTTTATGCTGCTGGAGGCTATGGGATGGATGGTGATAGTCTCTCCAGTGCTGAGATGTATGATCCTGACACCAACAAATGGATCTTGATAGAGAGCCTTCGCCGCCCTAGGTGGGGCTGCTTTGCCTGCAGCTTTGACGGAAAGCTTTATGTCATGGGAGGAAGGTCAAGCTTCACTATTGGCAATTCAAAATTTGTTGATGTGTACAATCCTGAAGGGCACACTTGGTGTGAGATGAAGAATGGCTGTGTCATGGTTACTGCTCGTGCTGTGCTAGGAAAGAAACTCTTCTGTATGGAGTGGAAGAACCAGAGAAAACTAGCTATATTCAGTCCAGAAGACAACTCCTGGAAAGTGGTACCAGTTCCTTTGACTGGGAGCTCAACTATTGGGTTTCGATTTGGGATACTTGGTGGAAAGCTGTTATTGTTTTCACAAGAGGAGGAACCAGGCTACCGTACCCTATTGTATGATCCTGATGCTTCCCCGGGCTCAGAGTGGCAGACTTGTGCGATAAAGCCGTCTGGATTGTGTTTGTGCAGTGTGACCATCAAGGCATGAATAATGCATTAATTGAGAGTTGGAATCTTTCATTTGATATTTTCAATTTTCTGTTCAAGTTTTTATGGATCTCTTGCTACATTCATTCTTTCCCCTAAAACAATATATGCATGGCATCAGGCGGAATTATTCAAGCAGGATTGTGTTTCATGGAATATGTTTGTGTTTGATTAGTGAGGTGCTCAGGTTCTCTTATGTCCTTGGCAGATCTTTTCCTTTTTCCCCACTAAAGTGCCTATTAGGCCTTGAACTGAGCAGTAAAACAATTAATCCGTTCATTAGGGTCTAGGCAAGGTATTTCTTCAAGGCTTCATTGATCGAAGTACACAGAACATGGCTTGTACTTACCAGCTAGATTGTGATTGCTGTTAGTTGAATGGTTTTGTGACACATTTCTTGCCATTTTTTTCAGCTATATCTATGATTCGCAGTTTCCTATTGTTTGCATACTGTTTCTCAACTTGTACTCTGTAAATTTCGCTCGAAAATTTTGTATGCTCAGTTTTTTTGTAATCCTGGTTCAAATTTGTAGCGAAGTCGATGACTCCTTGATGCATGATTGGTAGGGTTGGTAAGTGTTCACAAATCAAAGTAGCTTAGTGGATAATTGTCCTGCTTGATAAACGATTAATGAGACCATTCCAACTAGCTTGAAAGGAGGCTTTGAATAAGTGGAATAGTTATTTCTCATCAAAACTCATTGTTGGACAAACCTATAGTTGTTGACGGTGAAATCCAGGAAGTCCTGAAGTGACTCGAAGTCTCGAATTTCAATTTTATTTATTTCAAATCATGCCATGAGGTTGCAGTAAAAAATAGAGTTCAGAGTACTGCTCAATCTGAAGTACCTACAATTTTGAAAAGATGAAGACACGGGGAGGATTAGAACAACTTCATTCCATCTACCACATCTCCATCCATGCATACTTCAGACCCCAACCAATACATCAACATGTCTCATTTTGTATGGTCTAGCTCACATTCCATGAAAACAACAGTGAAACATTTGAGGTGGCTGGCCTGCCCAGAAAGCATCATCAAATACACATCTCGGATGGCCCTTCAGCCTATTGAAGATAGGGTACTGCATATCCCTTAATGGAAATCCAAATTGTGAAGCTATCTGAAAAGAGTCAGTTCACAATCTCTATGCCCGTTAACGGAGTCCCTGAATGAAGTTGAAGGGCAACATCTCCGACAACCTGTAAAAGTAAATGCACAATTAGCCGGAAAAAAAGTGGCCAGATAATCTAAAGATATTTTTAAGTAAAGAGGGCCAAGATTAAAAGCAGTTTGTGTAATCAGAGAGAAATTAAGTCAAAATTTCAGACTTCATTTAATATTAAAGCATAAAACTTCTCAGCTAATTTATTATCCAGGATATTATTGGCACTCTTATCAAAAGAAAATGTAATCCTTGGCTATAGCAGGTGAATAAAAAAATATTGGCTGCATGGCTGGCTATTAGGAAAGTTAATCAACATAGAGTATCTTTAAGAGGCTACAAAGGATGTAAATGCTTCTGAAGAGTTGTAAGATTATTCATTTTCACTCCAATAATCTGGAGGGTCTGTTTTAAGGTTCATACCTTAGCCATGGTTCTGTAAGAATGTTCTGTGACCCCACCAACATGAGGAGTAATTATAACATTGTTGCATTTGAGAACTGGATCATCAGGATCAAACGGTTCAGTCCAAGCAACATCAATGCCTAAGCCTCCTAAATGTCCAGACTCAAGATAATGCACAACAGCCTCATAGTCCAGGAGGCCCCCTCGAGCAATATTTACCAAAAGGGAACCCTGAAAAAAGGCTAAACATGTGTTAAATGATTAGACATAGATTCAATAACAAGAAAGTTGACATGCTTTATTTTTTATTTGACTATCACCTATACATAGCAAATCAATCATTAAGAACAAGTACTCTTGTGTGTTATGCTTTCTAAAAGAGCAAGCAAATTTGGATTGTTTAAGAAAATTCTAAAAGAAAACAAATCATCATTCCATATGAAAAAAGAATATTTCCAGCACAGAGTACAAGCAACACAAACCTTTCTCATTGAAGATATGAATGATCTGTTCACAACACCAGCCTGAGAATGCAATAACTTGTGAGTTAAGAAGATCAATCTTGTAGCATACACATACTTTTTGGATTAGTCAATCATGTAGCATAGACACTTGGAAAGAAATACAATAAAACTGTGATGCAGAGAACATACACATTCCACTCTCAACATGTCATGAAGCATAAATAACAGCTGGCATTATTATTGCAAGTTCAAATTAAAAATTAGAATAGGGGAAATATAAAAGGCTTGAATGGGAATACAAGACAATTGGTTTGTTGATTGACTTGAACTTTTCCTTTACCATGTCATATTAATTAAATATTTTGCTTTGTTGATTGGCTTGAACTTTCTTTTAATGTAATTCAAGTTTTGGAAAGCTACACAGAAAAGTATGATAAACTCTTTTCCATTATGTAATGTGATTTTTGTTCAAGAGGGGAGGTGGTTAAGAAGAAAAAGAAGTGAAATAAAGACATTTTGTTGTCAGGCATTCAGGAGGAATGTGTTTAATCAAGAATTTGTTGTGCCAACTGCCAATTTGTTCAAATGGGCCAACTCCAAGTCTACTGGCAATGTTAATTTCAATGCAATCCAATAGGAACTGTTGCCAAAGTACGTAAAGTATGGAAGGGAGCAGAGTCTTACTGTCTCTTTATTCATAATCAAGCAACAAACAACTATGTCGGCATTGCCAGCAAACTTGTAAATGTCTTCATGACTGCCTTTCTCGTCGACCAAATCATCATTGGTATCACTTTGCACGGAAGGGCCTGAGAATATGCAATGTCCAAATAAAAAGCCTTCCGCAACCACTATTGCTATGTTACAATCAATCCTTACATACCATTGGATTTAAGAGAACCTTTTGAATGCAAGGCCCAGCTCCTTTTTGTGGCAATAATTTTGACGCCAAATGGTCGCAAACGCTTTGCCAAATCAATCCCTATATTTCCAAATCCCATAATGAATACCTGCAGAATCCAAAGAAGATCCAAAGAGGATACAGAATTTTCAAAAATCAGAAAAGGTGCATAATAAAGTAGTTGAAAGCAAATGGTATAGAGACTTTTGAACCAATTTGGGATATTTTGATAAATAAAATGTGCCCAAAAATCAAGGTCAAAGGCTATAAACAAAGTCTTTTCTGATTAAAATTTTCTCAATACACTTCCATAGCACCAGTGACGAGTCCTATCCTCTCAGAATGCTCTATTTTACTTGGATAACTCAAAGTTGTTCGCTTAAAGAAAAAGAACATAATTTTCTAAGCTTCTTACTCTCATTCTCCCAAGTCCCTACTTTTATACTCTTCACACTAGTATGACTTCTGCTCTCTTTAAGCACTTTGAAATATATTCTGAATTCTAAAAAAGAGGCTTATTTGAGGAAAAATGACAGACTTTAACGGGAGTTAATATTTCAAATTTTGTTGTGTATGTGTATGCTCACACATAAAAACATATGCACAGTATTTTATACACCATAAATATAAACAAGTGCTCATTTGTGTATGTATATGTAGCTTTTCAATCTAACTTTACACAGAGCTATGATCTTTTAAGTCTTTAATTTTGGGATTGCAATGCCAACTGCTAGACACTTCATCTCCATACCGACACCAGGAGCTTTGTTTTAAAAACATTCTTTACATATTTTCATGTAACAGAACTTACAAAACAAGGTTCTCATTTTTTTATCCAACTTGCAGATTGTATCAAGAATTTACAGAGTCAGCATTCATTCATCATGTGGTGTACTTGTGAAAATCACACATACAGTAAACCATGGGGAAAAAAAATCGATCTATCAAATATTCAATGGATTTTTTAGAGAGAAGTAACCAAGAAGAGTATCACATGAAGGTACAAAAAAAAGAAAGAAAAGAAAAGAAAAAAGAAAATCTGTACTCACTGTCTTGCCAAATAGTGTGTCACCAGTTGGTTCTCCAAGCCTTTTCTGCTTTATGGAAATTTGCATCTCATTCTACAGAAGTAACACGAGTTACTATGATGACATAATAAGTTTTTATAGAACACAATAAGCAAAGCAAATAAAGTAATGACAGAAAACTAAAGTGCAAAATCATTAAAAGAGTACTGATATGGTGCATAGATGAGGTCAACTTTTTTTTTTTTTTTTTTTAAGAAGAAAAAAAGACAAAGACAGCTACCAAGACAATCAAAAGGGAAAAAGAAAACGCTACTTAGAGCAAAAATAGAAAACAAAACAGTTGTCGTGAAATCATGCTGATGTGTGCAGATTTGAAAGATACATGACCTCCTAGTAGGAATAATAACGCTCCCTAAAATGTAACCTGATATGGTAACATGGTGATGCATGTAGGAAGAAGAACCATAAAGGATTAGACAACCAAACAACAAAATAAACTCTAACCAACATCAATGTGCACCTTAATATCTTTATTGCAAGAAGCATGAATGTACATCTTTATAACTGTATACTATATTTTTAAGGATGTCACTCAAAGGATCTTAAGGGCAAATTAGATACCACTAAAACAAGTTGCTTTTGAATTTTGGCTGATACAAAATCATAAGTCAACAAAAATCTTTCTGGTTGAATTAATTTTTCAGCTTTGGTTCATAAATTATTTAAAATCAAAATTACTCAAAAGTCAGAAACTTTAGTTCATGATAGATTTTGAATAAGAGTTCGTCATATCAAAAAAGTACAAAGAGAAAATTAAAGCAGCCAGTCATTGTTGCCACAAAATAGCTTCCAACATGAAATGTCATTATCACGAGTAGTTTATGAATAAGCAAATCAAAACATATCATATACTACCTACCTTTTCTAAACAGATAGTTTCAGACCAGAACAGAGTAAAAAGGTTATTTCTAGTCACTAAATAGCAAAGAAACCTGCTTCCGGAGGAGGCCCAAGATTAAATATATGACCATCTCTGCACATGATGAGGAGTTTCCAGTCACATCTCCTGGAATTCTTGCAACTTTAATTCCACACTTTGTAGCAGCATCAATATCAACACCTTCGTGCAAGATTTATGAAAGGCAATCAATTTTAGTAGTGATGATAACAGAACAAAGAAACTAAAATAAATCAGGCAGATAAATTAGTCATAATCATGGCAAATTAGAATATACTGAAACTGTTACCTTCAAGACCAACACCAAACTGCATTATAAGTTTCATCTGAGTTGCATGGGATATAACGTTCGAAGTTAGCCGCATGTTTTTGACTACACAGATGTGGTAGTTTGATATAACATCAGGCACAGCAGCAAGTGGGACATCATCAACCTACAAGAAGTTAGCATATAGCAATCGAGTAGCTGAATACATAACGTACAGGCAGTGAAACTTCTTAGTAAAAAAATATCGAAATAGTATTATTTTTTTTGTAGCTATCTCAGTATTCTTTTTTTAGGGAAAAAAAAAGGGACAGGAAGTATAGGAAAAGCAAAGTGTCTCGAGCAACTTTTGGAGAACATCTAATTTATTTTCAAGGAAAGCATTATGGGGCTAATAAAAGCAAATAACTTCTTAAAAATGAATGGATCCTTCCAAGATACAATGTAAAGAATATATCTAAGAATTAAGCCATGGAGACATACTGCAGAGAATTACAGTACCTGGATGAAAGGGTGCTTCTGCAAGTATTCTTTAGTGTACGTCTGAGAAGCAGAAAAATATGGCCCACAAAAGAGAACACGAGTTATGTGCTTGTCACTGTTCCCAACCATTTGCTCTACCTTTCTCAAAGTATCTGCAATGATAAAACACAATGCAATTAAAACAAAGAAAACAAACACATAATTTTCCTCTGTAATAACCCAAGAAAAAAAGAACATCTTTATTCATGAAAATGGCCACGTAAATTATGCTAAGTGAAAAATGGCATAATTATGAGAATTAGGCATGAAAACAGGTGAAACAAAGTTAAGGTGCATTGAAGTACATTTAAATGAGAGCACCTTGCAAAACTTCCTAATGAATGAATATGTGCAATCACTCTTATCTAAATAGACAGAACTTACTGCTGGCCTAGGGTAAAGATTTGAACAGAATAGCTTGGAGCATGTATTTCCAATAAATTCAATTACTTTATGTCATGTTACAAATGTCAAATAATACACTATTGTCTAATTGGTAAAACTTCACATTCCGTAACTTAAACTGGGACTTTCACATTATATACAGGCTGAATATATGGAGAGTCTGCATGTTCAGGCTACAACCCGTTCAAGGTTACAATCACCTTGCACTTATAAGGACCTCTCTCCTTTACATCTTTAAATTAAGAAGGCAAGTGAATGCAATTATCATGTCGAAAAGACTTACCAAACTCCCCTAGTAATAAGTCAACATTCATTCATTCACTAACCAAAGCAAGCTCAATCCCTGCCATCTCTCTCACTAGCCAAACCTCAACTGATATTCAATACAATTGGAACAACATTTTTATGCCGAGAGGGAAGACTTTAATTTCAATGATTGCATCAACGATCTAAAAATATGAGAATAAGAGAGATTGTTTGCTTCTTAGAATCTCAATCTTTCACCTACTGGTTTATGTTATCCATGTTTTAAAGACTTCCCTAAACATCATCTATTACGCCAAATCATATCTCAGGCTAGAGCTGTGCAATCAATGATAAGTAGACAACAATCTGAATTTGCAATCAGACCCTCTTGGCTCCAATTTATATATCTATGTTCGAAACCCACAAAAAAAAAATCGACTTCAAGCAATTTCAAGCTTCAATTATGCATAAATTTGCATTAATCATACATAATCGAGAAACATCATTCAAAAGCAATGGATTCTAAGTAACTAGAAATCATAATTAAGGTTCAAATTCACAATTATTAAAAGCATAAAACAAACAAAATGCCACCCATGTCTTACTTCAAATGATAAGACCACCTCGTAAATAAAACTCAAAAGACCAAAAGAAAACCAAAACCGGTAAGACATGGAAAGGGAAAAAACAAAACTTCAGAACACATAATGCCTATCATCAGATTGTCCAAGAAACAGAGAGAGGGAATAATAGATGACGTAAAGAAGGGAAAAGGAAGAGGAAAATTTGGGAATGGGTTATTGCTTACCAGTAGAGAAATAGCGACGGAAGAGTGGAGAGACAGTGGAAGCATAGGAAAGGCCGCAAGTTCTCTTTATAGCACCGACCAGTGTCTTGTTCAGATGGTAGCGGAACATCCGCACACTTGGAAATCACAGGAGATTCTTTTAGCGGCACATTGGACCTGATGACTGTTTTGGTTGTTGAGAGTGCCTTATTGAGGATAATCGATTCTTTGGGGATCCAATTGCAAAACGGTTTTATTTCCAGGGATCCAATTTGGGTAATAATTAGATTGAAACTTAAAATACTCGTGCAGATAATTACACAGAATGATAGTTAGCATATTTACGTCTCCAAACATGATCGTAACTATTTTTATAAATATTTTAAATTTCAGTTTCCAGATGTAAATGGTTTCCGTTGTACTTGTGACGGTGATTAATTTGTTCACTTAAAATGTTCGGCAGGATGGAATCGATGAGAACATTTGATCTTCACATGAATCACATCTACAATGGGCAGAGTGCTGACCTTTTTTTTATTTTTTTCAACCTAGGTATCATTACTCGATTTTTTTTTCTCTCTTAGTAAGATAGTTTTAAAATTTTATTTTCAAAATAGGATAATTTTAATTTTATTTATCAGAATAGGATACTTATGACACATAAGATGTATATGTCATCTTTTTTTTTTTTAAGTATATTCTGTCATTGCAAGAGTATAAGTTAAGAGCTGACTTGTGCAGCGAGCTAAGAGCATAGATTTTCTTCATTGTTATACACTTTGATGACTTTAATATTATAAATATTATAATTGAGACAGACCTATCTCTCCTCTATCAAACTACTCGAAAACCATCACCACCACCACTACTCATCCGTCTATCTCTATCACAAACCAACCAATGACCATTACTATGTGATTAATGATGCATGAAAATTTTTGAAACTAGTTAAAGAAAAACTTCATATTGCAACTCGCCTTTAAGACCTTTTGTCAAACACATTATAAGCACATTAATTTTTATAACTTATAAAAAATGAGAGCCGACCCATTATGATTCATAATGATCCAAATTCTTTTTTCAATTTAACTAATTTTAAAAAAAAATTATATGGTAATTGTAATTGTTGACAATCCTAACAATGAATGATAGTTAAAGCTCGAATTCAAGTAGTAAACAACTAAAAAATTGATGAAGGATAAATTCAAGCATCTAGTGTGCATGTTTTTATATAATTGAAATTGAGTTCAATATTGATACAAGAAACTGGTAGTTGAGAGAATGAAAGAGAGTTCTCTCATGGTGTTGCTCTGCTAAATAATAATCGATCGAAGTGGTGGTAGAGGTAGCTTGAGATTGATCATGCTACCCTAGCATCTTCTCCTTTACCTTCTTTTTTAACCCCTTATTCTTTCTTCTCCATCATGGCCATCATCTTCGAAGAGTTAGAGCTACAACTGATTATGGATCAATTGGGTTTTCTCATAAGGTAGATATGATAGCTTTCTTATGAGAAAACAAAAGGTTGGTATATATTGGAGAAAAAAATACAAACATGTCCATTTTACGTGGCATAAGTATTCTGTTTTGATAAATAAGATTGAAACTACCTTATTTTGGTAATAAAGTTTCAAAACTACCACGATAGGAAAAAACTCATCATTGCTTGATGTTAGAAATAAGACTAATTATGTGAGAATGATAAAATTTAATCCCTCTCAATAAGTATAATTTTAGAATTCAAACCTTATAAATCGACGAGAAAATTTGTTTTGAAACCAATTTGTTTACCATTAGACTAACAACATACTAACCTTAGTATTAAAATAGATTAATAGTCATCCCATGTAAGCTCGACTACTCTTTCATCTTTAAAAATATAAGTAAATTATAAATTAATCCATCTTTTTTAGAAATGAATTAATTAGTTTCTTTGGTTTCAAAATCTACTTATTTAATTTTTTTAACTAATATTGACCATGATTAATTTAATATTTTTTATTTTATAGAATATATCCTCTCCTTATCAATCTTTTCATATTTTTTTTCTTTTTTAATTCTTAAAAAAATCAAAATAAATTAAAAATAGAAAAAAGGACTAAATGATTCGATTTTAAAACCAAGAGGACTAATTAATTCATTTCTCGAAATGAAAGGGACTAATTTATAATTTATTCGGTTATACTACATTTCTCATTTACAAAGACAATATTATTTTGAGTTGTCCAATACATTCTCAAGAAAAAGAAAAAAACGTTGTATTAAAGAAGGTAAAGAAAAAACCTTAAGCAATTAGGTATATAAAATTAAAGTTTTAAAACAAATTATGTCCGTAACAAGAAAGTTTTTAAGTGAATCTATTAAGAATTGAAAATGAAAATTGTAAGATTACATAACAAAAGAAACAACCATGAAGTGTTCTTATATAAATTGTAAAATATAATTAACAAATTTAATGATGTGAACATATTTATGTACTTTATATCAACACTCGTGGCATTTTAGAATTTGTATTATTGAGTATTACCAATATAATTATACATTAAAATATACATATCATACTTAATTAACTAATCCATTAATAAGTACCTTTTTGTTATGAAATAATGAATGTTTGTAACCATTCTTATTCTCCATAACTATTCATATTCTTTAATGTAATCTAATTCACCATCATCATGCATGAATGTATTTATTTTTCATTAAATTTATATTCTAGAATTATGTGTAACATTTATCTATAAATAGATGTGTTAAGTCCGGAAATATATGAACTCACTTTTCTATCATCTTTCTCTCCAAACCTTTTAGTGTTATTATTACTCATATGATATTGTTATAATTACTTTGATAAAATGTTATTATCACAAATGCTCTATTAAAAGACTCGGATTATCTAGATTATTAAGAAATATATGTCTAATTTATTCTTTACTTTTAATATAATGATACATAGAGTATACGTTTGAAAAACTTGAATGATCTTATATATAGAATCTAATGATCTAATATATTATTTGAAAAGCTTGATTCTTATTATTATACTTGTTCTTATTTTCTAATATTATTATTATATCTTATCTTATAGAATTTTTATCATGTCAAACTTCACAAAACTTAATTTTGTGGCCCTTGACATTTTAGACAAGAATTATTTATCATGGGTATTTGATGCTAATATATTTTTAAGTGCTAATGGCTTTGGATAAACAATTAAGGATGGTAATAAAAAAATTCTTGTAAAATCATGCTAAGGAAATGATCTTATTTCTCCACCATCTCTATACGGATTTAAAAATTGAATATTTACGAGTAAAAGATCCACTTGAACTTTGAAAAAATTTAGGAAAAAAAGTATAACAATCAAGAAATGGTAATTCTTTGAAAAACTCTTTATGGTTGGATGCATTTAAGATTACAAGATTTCAAAACAACGAGTGAGAATAATTCGCGAGTATTACAATCAATTCTCAACTAAAATTATATGGAGAAAATTTTATAGATTCGGACATGTTAGAAAAAATATTATCTACTTTTTATGCTTTGAATATGCTAATGCTGTAGCAATAACTAGAAAGGATTTCTCAAAAATATTATGAATTGATTTCATATTTTCTCGTGGTTGAACAAAATAATGAACTATTTATGAAAAATTATGAATCCCATCTAATTGGTTCTACATCACTTTTTGAAGTGAATATGACAACTTATGATAATTATAGACATGGATGAGGACATAGTCATGGCCATAAACGTGGTCGTTTGTTATAATCATGGTAGTCATAGTAATACACTTTACCATAAAGACGTGGAAAAAACTATACATTAAAAAAAAAAAAAAGAATCAAAGTGAATCAAGCCGGTATTCTAAAAACGAATGTTTTTGGTATGACATAAAAGAATATAGGTTGTATACTTATTATACGCCAAAGTACCTTGTTGAGATTTATCAAGCCTCATAAAAAAAGAAAGGGAAAAATATAAAGGTAAATTTTATATATCAAAATGATACTTTTAACAATGATCCTCTTGATGGTTTCGGTCATTTGACATATTTAGATATTGTTGATTTTTTTTTTTGAAGGAAAATATCATTAGATTAATGATGGTAATTAAAATTAATGATTTGCTAGATTTTTTATTTATAAATAAGATGCTTTATATTTTCTTATAATTTCTATTACATCGTGATAGTTACAATTTTTTTTATACATATTCATTTATTTATTTTTTTCTATTTATGAAGAATATATGGATGTTGTTAAGTCCATAATTAGTTTGAATATCAAAGATGATAATTTATGTTTTGTAGAAAGTGCAACAACACATACCATACTTAGAAATAAAAAATATTTTTCTCACTTAATAACAAGCATAGCTAATGTTAGTACTATATTTGGTAGTATCAATCTAATTGAAGACTCTAGAAGAGTGAATATATTATTACTTAAAGCAACAAAATTGATTATAAATAATAGATTATTCTTTTCTAAATCCCAAAAAAATTTATTGAGTTTCAAAAATATTCTTCTAAATAAATATCATATCGAGATAATAAATATTAAAAATATTTAATATGCATATATTACAACTATTACATTAGGTAGAAAACATGTATTGAAGAAATTATCTAATTTTTCTTACACAAACATTCAAATGATTGAAAGAAATGTTATAAATCAAATGTTTACGAATTCAAATACTTTTATTCTTTTGTATGACCGGTTGAGCCATCATAGGTCCATCATGATGCAAAAAATTATTAAAATTTCATATTAACATATATTGAAAAACTCGAAAATTCTTTAACCTAATGACATGTTCCGTATGTTTTCAAGGTAACTAATCATTAAGTCATCACGAGAAAAAATTGGGATTGAATCTTTTATATTTTTAGATCGTATTCAAAGTGATATATGTAAACCAATTCATCCACTATGAGGATCATTTAGATATTTAATGGTTTTAATCCACATGATAGTCATATGTATACTTATTATCAACTCGAAACCTAGTATTTTTTAGATTAATTATGCAAATAATTCGATATTAAACACAATTTTCAGATTATATCATTAAAATAATTTGCTTTGACAATGCTAGTGAATTTAACTCTCAATTATTTAATAA